AACTACACAAATGTATGATTTTAACAGACATTTTTAGAATTTTTATATCTTTTTAAAAGTACTATTTTCAGTAAAAGATAGAGTTGTCGCAAGAATTTTACACTTCTCAACATTAAATTTTAAATTGAAGTAAAACATTTAAGTTATCGCATCATATCTTAATTTCTTTTTCTTCTTCCTCGCCTTTAAACTCAACTACTTGTGGTCGGCCACCCTTAATCTAAACTTCCATTTGACACAATCTCCCATCATCTACGCTCACATCAGCTGTCCTTATATCGCATTCAATAGCATCTCTTTTTTGGTCTTCCTCTACCTCTTCCTTCAACATTTATTTCTATAACTATTCTTACAGCTTCCGATTCTTCTCTCCTCATAACATGACCAAACCAACTAAGTCTATTTTCTCTCATCTTATCTACGAATGACACTACACCTATACTCCCTCTTATATGATTGTTCTTTATGCTATCTTCTCTAGTCACTCCACTCATCCATCTAAGTATTCTCATTTCTGCTACACTCATTCTCTTCTCTACTTTCTTATCAACCGCCCAATACTCTGAACTATACATCGTAGCTGGCTTCACTACAGTCTTGTCGAATTTACTTTTCAGCCTCATTGGAATTCTTTTATTGTTTCTCTCCACTTCAACCACCCGCACTTAATCCTGTGTCTTACATCTTCGTCAATACCACCTCCTTTTCCACAACTGATCCTAAATACTTAAAATTTTCAACCACTCTAATCACGTCCTCGCTTATTGTCACTGATGTCCTCATTTCACCTACCTCGTGTTCTCCTTTGTTAAACTCGTACTCTATTTATCGTATCTGTATTTCTTCTACTTATTCTTAAGCCCTTTTCTTCAGAGCTTATCTTCACACCTCTAGCCTTTATTTAATTTCCTCCCTATTTTCTCCTATTAACACTACATCGTCAGCAAACAACATGAACCACGACACCTCTCCTTGTATTTGTCTAGTAATTTCATTCATCACTATAGAGAATAGGTAAAAGCTTAAATCAGAACCTTGGTACGCTTCTACTCTTATCCGAAGACCTTCTGTTACTTCTCCTACGCTTTTTACCCTGGTACAAGTGCCATCGTATATATTTTCTATTATACTAATGTACCTTTTCGGGACTCCTTTTCTCATTAATACTTATTCTAAAATAAGTATTAACTACAGCAAGATCATACGATACTGCGAAATACAAGATTCTTTCTCCAACCTTATTCTTCTTACTAAAATCATACCCTCCATGTATTCTTTTATATCCTCTTTTCTCATTACCTACATGTCCATTTATATCTACCTATCACCGTATCCTCATTGCCAGGTACCCCTTGCATCACCTCATCTATCTTTCTCAAAAACATTTCTTTGTCTATTTCATCACATCCAACTTGTGTTGTATAGACATTTATTACATTCAGCACTTTATCCTCGAATATCAGTTTTATGACTATAATTCTGTCACTTTTCCTAGCTACTTTTACTACTTTACTTTTTATCTTCTCGTCCATTATTATTCCTACCCTATTCTTTGTACTAGACTTACCTGAGTATAAAACTCACCTATTTCCCTCGATTTCTCTCCTTTCCACTTGGTTTCCTGCACACAACAAATGTTAACTTTTCTCCTCTTCAATATTTCTACTAATTTTTTACTTCTACTAGTTAATGTTCCAACATTCCAAGTACTTATTCTTACTTTGTATCTATCTTTCTCCCTTATATGCAAGTCCAGTCTAGGGTTAAGTGGTGATATCCCTACACTGTTGACACTACAAGCATTGGGTAGACCTGTACATATGACTAGTGAAACAGCTAATGCAAAAGTTGTCCGGCTGGTATAAAACACTTTATTCCTTAGGCTTTTTACGTTTTTAACTACTTTATTCCGTCTCACCTGTTGTCCTCGCATACATCCGAGATGGAACAATTCGCCTAAGTTTTGTTCAGGACACCTCATATTATTTGATAAAAATTTTACGCTGGCTGTCAACCTGACGCAACCTCATTAGTCGCCTCTTACGACTGGCAGAGAGGCCGTGAAAGTATTCTTATTCCCTATCCACAGGAACAACATCATGTCTCAATTTATAAACAATAAAAATAATTGAGGAACTTTATTTTAGTTGTTGAGGCCATTTCAAGAGTCTAAAAGAGAGTCGCAATATTTTTTTACTGATTCGACTATAAATGCATTTTTAAATATGTTCAAATCTCTCAATATAAAATATGTGGTATGTATAGGAGCTCCTACGATACATGAACAAATTGTTTGTAAAGTTCCAGTTCTTAAAAGCATTTTGTTGGATATAGATCATAGATATGTAAGTTCTTTAACAAACATTTATTTTTCAGTGTTTTAATTTTTATTTGTCTATAAAATAATATAAAATCTAAAAAGGAATTAAATTACATATAAATGAGCATAGGTATATTTTGAATTTTTTGTATTGTATATTCTGAATGACATTTAAATTAAGTTATGACATGATAAAATGAAGATATGATAAATCTAATAACTCTTTATCAAATCAATATTTTATATTACTCTCTTCTATAAATAATTNGTAAAACTAATAACTATTTATCAAATCAATATTTTATATTACTCTCTTCTATAAATAATTGTTAGACTTTTAGTTTACAGTTTTAACATATATTTTACAGATATAGACCTTTTTAGAGTATGTAAAATAAAAATAGCCATTTTATACAATAAATTAAATAAATAAGTAAATAATAACAAAATAAATAAGTAAAGTTGCCACAAATTTGGAAAACGGGGAAATTTTTTTTATTTAGGAAAACTCCAAAATGTCATGGAATTTTATTAGTGCGTGAAATTTTGATTGTTCAATGACCAATAGGAAAGTTATCAAACAAAAAATAAAATAATATTTTTAAATAAAGTTGCAGTTCTACCAGTGTAACGACTTTCGATGGTTTAATTTATTTAATTGTTACATACTTGAAGAATGTGATACTAAAGAATTTTTAGTGGATTTATTGAGTAAGGAAGATTCTATGGCTGTCCTAATTGATCCCCCATTTGGCGGTAGGCTGGAACCAATTGCCTATACTATGAAAAAATTTGATGACATTAGATTAAAACATAATAAAAACTTTTTGACAAGTAATGAATTTTTATTATTTGATAGATATCTTCTAGATTGTAGTATTTTTGATGAAATATATTTAGTAAATAAGTATATTTGTTTTACAATTTGAAATTATGGTGTAACACTAATTTAGCATCGATGCGAAGCTGAGAAGGTATTAATTTTACCATGATGTGTTTTTTTATTTTTTAATTTTAAAATTGTTTTTATTGTGTCTGTAAAAGTTCAATCTCAGCACATACTAAACCGATTTTTCTGAACAAAAGATCACAAATTGTATCAAGTCGAAGACATTACCTTTAAATATTAAAAAATTTTCCCTCGTTTCACATATATGGTGAAATTTCCCCAATTTTTTTTATGTCTGTTGCCACTTTTTCTCAGCTCTCACTGGACCGATTTCTTTTAACAATACGTCATAAGATCACAAATCGTATCTAATTGAAGACATTACCCTTAAAAATTGAAAAAATTTCTATCGTTCCTAGCAAATGGAAGAAATATCCAAAAAAATTACAAATTTAAAAATCGGTAAATTTTAACATTTTTTTCACTTTTTTTTCTTAAAACTTCCATAACTTTTTCAAAAATAAATAAATCAACATAATTTTTTTTTATACTAAAACCTTAGATATTTACCTTTCATTTGATATCATTTTTTTGAAATTCTAACACTTAACCCGCTCATTGGGGGATTTAAAATAGCAAATTTTTTACAAAAACTAACTTTTTCAACTTAATTTTTGAAAATGTTCCGGAAATACTGCGTCCTTTAAACATATATCAAATTAAAGCTTATTTNCATAACTTTTTCAAAAATAAACAAATCAACATAATTTTTTTTATATACTAAAACCTTAGATATTTCTCTTTCATTTGATATCATTTTTTTGAAAATCTAACGACTGCCGTAGTTAAAAAAAACACTATTTTTGTGTTAACATTTTCGATTTTAAATTTTCAACTTAAAAATGCTATAACTTTTTGAAAAATGTAATTATCAGCATAATTTTTTTTTCTGAATACATTATAAGTACATCTTTCATTTGACATACTTTTTATTAAAATTGGACAATTTCCCCATAATAGGGGGCGTTCAAAACTTGAAATATTGTATAAAAAATAGAACTTTTTCAACTTAACTTTTGAAAGTGTTCCGGAAATACTGCGTCCTTTAAACATATATCAAATCAAAGGTTATGTTATATACTATCAAATGAAAAAAAAAAATTTGTCCCGACATCTTATCTTCTATGTGCAAATGGCTGTCGAAAATTTAAAAAAAAATGTAATGTTTGCGATAAAAATTACATTTTATCGGGATGTTTTTTGTACTTAAAACTGCCATAACTTTTTCAAAAATGAACAAATAAAAATAATATTTTTTTGTATTGAAACCTTAGATATTTCCCTTTCATTTGATATAATTTTTTTTGAAAATCTAACACTTATTCTGCTCACTGGGAGGATTTAAAATAGTAACTTTTTTACAAAAAATAACTTTTTCAACTTAATTTTTGAAAATGTTCCGGAAATACTGCATCCTTTAAACGTATATAAAATTAAAGCTTATTTTATGTACTACAAAATGAAAAAAAAAAATTTGTCCCGACGACTTATCTAGTATGTGCAAATTGCTGTCGAAATTTAAAAAAAAATGTAATATTGTTAAAATTTTCGATTTT